GGGGCCTCCCCGTGCCTGCCTTGGTGCTGGAGGGGCCGTTGGGTCCGCGGGAGGAGCTGGACTCGCCCGTGCGGCCTGCGGAGGGAGCGGGGCCCTTGGGGCAGCGAGGCCCTTGGGGCCGCGCGCAGGGACGGGGTGGCCCGGGGCAGGGAGCCGGTTTCCACCCGCTGCAGGAGGGGAAGTAAGTGCCGAGGTTGCCGCTTGTTTCGCGTGTTACCTGCACTAGCCGATGTGCGGCCTTACCGGGCCCCCGTCTGCCTCGTTTGCTGGGTTGGACGCGTGCAGAAGTGACCGTAGGAGCCTTAAAGGTCCCTGTGAGCAAACAAAAAAACACCCTCAAAATCAGCATTTATTTCTCATTCTAATAAATAATTTTAAAAAGCCTTTTTGACATTTTGCTTGATTCTGATGAACTAGGATTAATCTCTGTAAAGATTCAATTTATTATTGCAAAGCAAAGCGAGGAGTCTGTGGAGAATTGTACTTCCTTCCTCCTCCCCTGTTGCTGGGTTTTCTGTGATAGGTAAGCGAATAATCAAATTATTGGGCATTCCTCATTAGGCTCCTTTATCAGTAAAGCACTTGAGGTGTAGGTAACACTGTGCAGAACCAGAGGTCTCAGTGTGTGAACTTCACGACATCAAGTTCTTTTTCTGAAGATGCAGCGTTTTTTTTTGTTTGTTGTAAGAACCGTATAAAATCATCCTCCCATAGGTAAGGCTTTTTTTTTTTCCCAGCTCCAAGTTGTAACTCGACTTTTTGGTGGGAAATTATTAAACTTAACATTAAACTTTTCTGTCTGGTTTAACAACACTCTCAAGCCAAGCTCTTCTTGATGGTGGCCAGTGACAAGGATAATGGATAAGGGATAGTTGAACAGGTCAATGGGATCCTGGCCTGCATTAGGAGGAGCATTGCCAGCAGGTCAAGGGAGGGGATCCTGCCCCTCTACTCAGCTCTGGTGAGGCCCCACCTGGGGTATTGTGTGCAGTTCTGGGCATCCCAGCACAAGAGGGACGTGGAGCTTCTAAAGAGGGTCCAGCGTAGGGCCACAAAGATGATTAAGGGACTGGGGTATCTATCTTAGGAGGAAAGACTAAGTGAGCTGGCCCTGTTTAGCCTGGAGAAGAGAACACTGAGAGGAGATTTGATCAATGTGTTCAAGTACCTGAGGGGTGATTGTAGGGAGAATAGGGCCAGGCTCTTCTCTGCGGTGGCCAGTGACATGATGAGGTGAAACGAGTGTAAGTTGAAACACAGGAAATTCCACCCCCATGTGAGGAAGAACTTCTTTCCTGTGAAGGTGACAGAGCCCTGGCACAGGCTGCCCAGAGAGGCTGTGGAGTCTCCTTCTCTGGAGATCTTCCAAACCCACCTGGATGCCACCCTGTGCCACATGCTCTAGGTGTCCCTGCTGGAGCAGGGGGGTTGGACTAGCTGATCTCTAGAGGTCCCTTCCAACATCAACCATTCTGTGATTCTGTGAAATTAAAGTTCTTGCTTTGAAATAGCTGGGAAGCAGCAGAAATGATTGAGTGAAGGTTGTTAAGTTTCTGAATATATTCTTAGGTGAAGGCAAAATATACTGAATTCAGCTTAATGGTCCTCTCATTTAAGGAGAAGTTTCTGTCTTTCCAGCAACTGTAGCCTTCAAGTAGCTTTTTGCATCCTTGTTTTCTTACTCTGCCCTGGTGGCAGCTGTTACTGCAGGTCACTGTGACATGTTGTGGCAGCCACGTATCAGCCTAGGAGTCCTTTGGTTTGTTCTGATGAAATGCTGCTTGTATGTGAATGCAGTGAAGAGAGAAGGCCTTTCTGACATGCAAATCTAGTGGTGGAAACCAAGCAGGTCCCCCAAAAGGAAGGGATTGAGCACAAGGGCTAGAAGAAATCCTTAGGAGGGAGTTCTGGATAGAGCACTGGGTTGCAGCAAACAACTCAGTCTTGCTCTCTTGTACAGCCCACTAAACAGACTGAAAGATGTCACTGGAAGATGTCACTTGTTACAGTTTTTCTCGGGTGCAGAGGGGGTAGAGTGAAGATAACTTGATAAAATGTCAGTGCTGCTCTGCAGCCTGAGTGTGCTACAGACCGTAGAGTTAGTGCATCACTGAACTGTGTCTTTCACATCCCATCTTGAAGAGCGAGAATCTGCCACTTGCTATTCAAATTATTAACCACTTGGAACAAAGCTAACCACTTTCATGTAGTTTTAACTTCAAGTCTGAGCCTTTCTGTGATGTGTTCAGAGTCTCCTGCTACGCAGGGATTTTTTGCCAAGATCCTTGTCATCTTTCATCACTTCGTCTTAATCTCTCTGGCAAGATAGGAGGAGAGGTTGTGAGGTCTTATATTGAATGTCTGAAGCAATAAAAAGGTCTAGAAATGACCAGAAAAATGAAGTGTTTATTAACAGAAAATTAATATCCTTTTATTTGTTTGTTTTTTGAGTTCTACAGGTGCCCGAATCATTATCCAGAGAGATTTAGCTATTCTTCAGTCCATCAATGGAGGGACAAACCAATACTAGATTAGGATCCTCACAGACAAGAATGAGGAAGCTCCTTACACTGTCAGTGCATCAAGTGCTGGTACTAAAATCAATGCAACTAAGGTTAGGAAGGTCCTGCATAATGTGATTCTGCTGCTCTCAGAGTGTCTTATTGGATAGGAGAAAGAGGCAATTGGTTTAGGAGTTTCTGTGAGAAAGAACTATGAGAAAATTTAGCTGATCTTGGGGAAGATCCATGAGTGAGCAGTGTCTTGTACCACTAGTTAAGGTTGCAGCTTTGAGAAAGCAAAGTTCTATGGAACGCTGTAACAGGGATAGCACAATTCCAGTTTTTTTATGTACAGAGAATCTATGATGTGAACCTATGGAACCATTATTTGAGTGAGGAGGGAAGGCATGTTGCATTAACTTCCTTTCCTCTGATGAGCTTGGAATCTCCTTCCCTTTTTCCTACTAATTTATAGGATGGCAGGGCACAGGGGGAGATGATTTATCATGGAAATAAAGGGTCCATAAATGGTCTTGCAGAAGCACCCATTGCTTTGCTTTGGTTCTAGGCACAGTGAGCTGCACGTTGTTCCTGGCTGTTAATGGTCTGTATTCGGCCAGTGATGATGTGATAGAGCTAACACCAACAAACTTCAACCGGGAGGTCATTCAGAGTGAGAGCTTGTGGCTCGTGGAGTTCTATGCCCCATGGTAAGTATCACATTTGCTTTCTTTTACCTTGCAGAAGCATCACAGCAAGCTGGTGTTGACCAGTCAAGAGTTTTGTTCTCTTGTTGGTAACATAGTCTCAGTTCGGTGGTCACATGATTAGAAAGATTAGCTGTGGTGTGGATTCCTATTTTCAACATCCTCACCACGGGAAAAGGGAGAAATTTTGTCTTGAGTTGGCAAATGGGGTGTAACAGCAAAATCTTATATGCTGTTTTACTACTTCTGTTTTTCTGCTGAGATTATTATTTAAAACTGATTGAAGTGCAGCAGACGAGAGAGGAAGTCCCTCAATTCCATCCTTCTTAAATTAATCTTGAACTGAAAGTGCATACCTGAATTTACACTTAGGATTTTCATTTCCAGTTTTGAGTGTAATCTTAATTTACTGCCTCCTTTTCCCATCCCACTTGTCTCCAGAGCAGAGTCTCTGACAACCTGCTTCATAGTCTGTGTGAGTCTGGTGGCACAGACTGGGCATCTGCCAGTGCCATCTGCACTGCCCGTCTCCAGACCTCTGCATTCTGAAGAAAGAGCCTCTCGTTGCTGCAGTACAGAGAGGCTTGGGAAGAACAGCTGCCTGCTGTCACTGCAGCTTTACAGGGGATGAAGCACGGAGGGGCTGTTACTGTAGCCAGCTCCCTTTCCCCATACCTGTGGTGTGGTCATTACACACGAGTTGCCAGTCAGATGTTGGTCTCCTGCCATAGAGGAGATGAACAAGAATCTGTGGCATGGCTCATTAAGGACTTATCTCTAGAGCTATTCTTTTTTTTTCTGTCAGAAGCTCATGTCTGTTTTAGCTTGTAACACACTAGTGTGCAAATTTGTTTTTTGGTGGCCACATTTGCCTGCATGGTAAAAAAAAGTTGGGTAACTTTTGACATGTCTTTATTTGCATCCGTCCCAAAACCTTTCGTTATTGGATCCTGATTTTAACAAGCGATTGCATTTTTCTCATGTAAAGATTTAGATGACTCGAAATAAAACCCTGTTATTTTATATCCCAAATCAAGTGTTATCAAGCACTCTATGTGCAAGACAGGATCATTTCTAGGCTGAGCCCATACAGGTTAACTCACACTTAAGATTAGTAGAATTAGCCTTTTTTATTAGGTGTGTTGGGCTTTGTGCTTGCTCTCTTTGGTCAGTGTTTAAAAGAAATTCTGGGGCAAGTGTAGTGTATGTGTGTGTGGATGTGTGGATGTGCATATGCATATGTGTGTGTGTCTTCTGTTTCTGCTGAGGGTGTCCGAGTTCACTTTAATGTCACCACTGATCTGGGTGCTTGAACTGTTCTGCTCTACAGGAATTGTTTTCACAGCAAAAGAACTGATGGAATTCCATCTCTGCAGTTCCTTTTTCCATGGTTCAGCAGTGTTGGATGATGCAAGTTCTTTCCGCCAGTCCTGCCTTTACACCTGCTGAGTTAGAAATTGCCCTCTTGGATATATTTAGATGATGCTTCTCAGCAAGGGATGTTTGCAAAACAGTGTCTCTAGAGGTTATTTCTCAAATATCTGAGTGATACTGTGATGCAATGTCATGGCGTAAGCTTTTTATTTATAAATAAACTATTTATTTATTTATTTTCCTCTCCTGTAAGGTGTGGTCATTGTCAAAGACTTACCCCTGAGTGGAAGAAAGCAGCAACAGCATTAAAAGTAAGTTTAAGTTTTCCCAAATGCCTTTGTGGTTGCTGATTAAGGACAGTTTGGTTCTTTATTGTGTAGCTTAGGAGCACGGTTGGGGAGGGGAAGTCCCCTGCAGTTCTGCTTGGTCAGGCTTGCAGAAGTGCTGCTTGTCTCGCCTGAAAACTGATGCATCACCAGCAATCAGGAAATTTTGCTAATTTTACAAAAGGAAGCAGTTATAGAGGTTTTGTAGAGCATTGTAGAGGAAGCAAGACAATTCTGTGCTGGAATATGTTCATTTCTGTTTTCCAAGGCTGTTCTTAACACCATGAACATGCTGGAACCCAGCCATCCTGTAGAATATTGTGGGTTTTTTTCTTTCCTTCCTTGCTATCCTGTCACTTGCCTATGAAGTTCAGAAGCATCGTGAACTGAGTATTTGAACACAGCTCTGTAAACCGGGTGATGAACATTTGTTTCATGGCAGATAATTTGGTCATGCAGTAACTTGTTGAACTTCTGCATATATTGAATTCTCTTTAAAAAGTCAGTTGTTCCAAATTTAGAAGCTGTTCAGGATGAAGAAGAATTAGGCCCATATGTTTTTTCATGATATAATGCTTTCCGGGGAATCATCTGTTCTTTGTGGTGCCCATTCTCCTACCTTTCTAATAGTTATCTGTGCATCATTCAAAGTATAAACTGCGTTAAATCACATTTGTCTTACACAGTTTCTATTTTTACTTCACCAGGGTGTAGTGAAAGTAGGTGCAGTAGATGCCGACAAGCACCAGTCCTTGGGCGGGCAGTACGGCGTCAGAGGGTTTCCAACTATCAAGATTTTTGGAGCCAACAAAAACAAAGCAGAAGATTATCAGGGTAAATCTGATGGTCTTTCACATGTTGCATGCCTAAAAATGTCCTTGAAGACAGTAATTATGTTAGCTGTTAATGCTGCCTTATGTGATATTTTCTTCCTGTTTAGTGCTTGTATTAGTAGCTGTTTGAGAGATGGGCAAGTGGAATTTGTTTCATCAGGTTGTGCCTGTCTCTGAACTACTTGTCCCATTCCAAATTTGTAGTTGGTGGAGGTTAAAAAGCAGTTCAGGGAATAGTTCCTTTCTGTTTACTGGGAGCTTGTCAGAGTCATCCCCTTTTAGATAACATGACCGTTTGGAAGTGGAGTAAATCCTACTGGATGTAACATCACTATGACTACATCACCTGCAGGCCAGTCCTGCTCTGCCTGAATCCAGCAGGAGAAGATTTGGTCCTTGAGTTTAGAACCGAATCAGTTGTTGACCTTCAACTTGCTTTTTGGTGTTTTAATTGTTCATTTTTTTGCATTGCAGGTGGCAGGACAAGTGAAGCTATTGTCGATGCTGCTCTAAGTGCTCTTCGGTCCCTGGTAAAAGACCGTCTGAGTGGCAGAAGTGGAGGATATAGTTCTGGGAAACAGGTATTTATTGGGGAATGTGTAACTCGCCTGTGCCAGAGATCAGGGGTTTGTGCTCTCTGTTAACGGAATCACAGAGTAGTAGAGGTTAGCAGGGACCTCTACTGCAGAAACAGTCTAGTCCAACATATCTGCTCACAGCAGGCTGTGAACAGTCAGTTATAGAACGCTATTCAGAACCATGTCCAGTCAGATTTTGAGCATGTCTGAGAATGGAGTGCCCCTTACTTCTCCAGGCAGCCCATTCCAGTGTTCAACTTCCCTCAAGTAAAGGAAAAGATATTTTCTTATGTTTAAGTGGCATTTCTTTTGTAGCAATTTATGCCCATTGCTTCTTGTCCTGTCACTGGGCGCCACTGGGGGGAGTCTGGCTCTGTCTGCCTTCCTCCCATCAGGTAATTACACATAGTTAATAAGATCCCCACAGAGCCTTCTCTTCTCAAAGTTAAAACAGTTTCAGTTCCCTCAGCCTTTCCTCATGGAGTAGATGCTATAAGCCCATACTTGTCATTATAGCTCTTGACATGGAAGTTCACCCACTGCTTTCCCTCCATTCACCAATCCTATTTTCAGGCATAACTTCCACTTTGGAAATCCATGCTGGCTACTTCCAGTCATCTTTGTGTCTTAAATGTGCTTGGAAATGGCTTCCAGGAGAATTAGGTCTGTCACCTTGCAACAATCCTGGTGGTAGTTCTGCTTGGTATCAGCGTCACCATTTTCTAGGTCCTAGTCTAATCTGGATAGTTAAGGGTGTTTCTTGTGCCAGAGTTTTCCCTAAAACTGAATGGCAAAGCTCCTCACTCCTAATGCTGCTCCTGAATAGTGGAGGAAGAACCCTCTGGCAACCCGAGGTTGCTGCAGTAGGAGACCTGGGTGGACTCTGTACCCTGTAGGGTGTTCCCCACTCCTGTTCTCCTGGAAGCCAGGATACAGTGTGTGGGGAGGATAGTGAGCAGCCTGCTCTCTAACTGTGAATAACAGAGATTATGTGGGAATGTTACCAGTGAGGTACAGTTTGACCCGTATTCTGTTCTTTAAGAGAAGCTTCACTTGCTTTTTCTTGGAAGTTCTGTGGGAATAGGCCATGGACACGTTGTGTCCTGCTCTACAATGGGAGGGTTGCACAATGTAATGCTGCCTGTCTTGTACATACCGTTTTGTATAACATGACACGTAGGAGATGGCTTGTGTGGGAGACCAAGTTTGGTTATGTCTTGTTTGAGGGTCTGTGTGTGTTTCTTCCAGAGTCGAGAAAGCGGAGGTGGAGATAAGAAGGATGTGATCGAGCTGACTGATGACAGCTTTGATAAGAACGTCCTAAACAGTGACGATGTGTGGATGGTGGAGTTCTACGCCCCTTGGTGTGGGCACTGCAAAAAGTAACTGAGCTTTGTGACAATTCATTTCTATTTAGTGCTTGTTTGTGTGGAATAGCCTTAATCCCTTCAGAGGGACCTTGCACTTATTATATCAGAAGGGAGTTTTATTTTTTCCATAAAGTGTTATACTGAAGCTGTGTGGGCTTCTGCTCAGAGCACCTAGGTGCTTTTCAACATTTAAGGGTATCTTCTTGAAGTGCTCCTGCTTAGTGGTAAAATTTCCCCTCACCACTGTTCAAGATCAAGTTATATTAGGCTTTCATCCCTTCTGATGCAGAATTTAAGTCTCTGTGGAATAATCAGACTAGCTGTTATTCTTCACAAATACTTTTTTTTTCTTCCTCTTTCCCCTAAGAGAGGAATATATTGCATAGTATCGACATGTCGTGCACTGTTGCTAACTTCTGGAATGCCTAGAGCACTGATAATGTCTGTTTTTCAGTCTGGAGCCGGAATGGGCAGCAGCTGCCACTGAAGTGAAGGAGCAAACTAAGGGAAAAGTTAAGCTGGCTGCTGTGGATGCAACCGTTAATCAGATGCTGGCCGGTCGATACGGGGTGAGTGTGATCTGCAGTGGTTCCCATTCCTTTTCCGTTTCCAGGAAGTCATGGACCTTTAATGCTTACAGAATTATTTCTTAACCTGGTGCTTCTTAATGCTTTATACTAAAAATATTGTTAAGAGTGACACATATCATTTTTCCACAATTCCTTTCCTCAATGTGGGGTAGCAAGAAGAATACATAGGATGAGGGGAAAATAGGGTAAATAGGGATATTGCTAATGAGGAAGACTTTCTGTGAGACCTTCTATAACCTTAACATCCTAAGTGACAAGTGTCTCCTTCCAGGCTGTCATGGATGCTGACCAGGTATCTGCAGAACACAGCTGGGTTCCTGTACAGGGTCTGTACTGGTCCTTTGAGCCAGTTATAAGGGATCACTCTAAGAGTATCAGCTGCTTGAATGGGTTGTGCTTTGGGCCTAGAGTGAACTAGCAGTCTTTAAATCTCAGTGATACAGTACAGAGAAACTCAGTGTTCTGCTTAAAGTGTCCCTGTAAGTACAAGGACACTGGATAAGTGCTCACAACTTTCACTTACTGGAGGTGGTGCAGAGAGAGTCCAGGATCCAGTGGCTGCCATGAAGACACAACACTGTCTTCCTAGGGCCAAAATGGAATCAAGGTCTTAAGACCTCAATATCTTAAAATTACAAAGGGTTTATATGGTCCCCCTGGTAATTAAGCATGTAGTGCATGATGTGTCTAAACTGTAAGACCATTTCAGCTTCATTGGTCATAAAATTTGAAACTTCAGTTATATTAACTATTTTAAATTGTTGGTAGATAGGGAACTGCAAAACTGTTAAATTCAGTCATAAGCTGTTAAGACTTGTTTCTCTCTTCCCTTCCTCTTAATCTAGAACACATAAGTGTAGCAGGTAACTTGCATCATAAATGTTTAGATTTGTTTGAAATGATTGCAGATTCGTGGATTTCCCACAATCAAAATCTTTCAAAAAGGAGAAGATCCTGCTGATTATGAAGGTGGAAGAACTAGGTCTGATATCATTGCTCGTGCTCTGGATCTGTTTTCTGATAATGCACCACCACCCGAGCTCCTGGAGGTACATTGGCTGTTTTATTTACAGTCAAAGTGTGCTGTTTGTGTACTATTTTTATGGCAGAAATATCCAAAGATCACAAGATTTCCATTTCTGCTGGGAATATATTGTTCATTGATGGGCCATCAGAATGGACGGCACTAGCAGTGCTGGTCCAGGGTGAATTACCACTGTGCCCAAATCATCCCGAGAGGGAATGAGTGGAAGGGATTAGGTTCTGTGCCCTGTGTCACTGCATCTCCAGTGCCGAGGTTGGACGAAGCTTGTGATTTTTGCTTGTTGTCCAGAAAGCCCCACTCTTACATAGTGGTTTTCCATTTCCACCATTGGCGGAGATGCATTTGGAATGGCAATATACATACATAAATGGGCTCCTTCCTTTTTCAGGTGATGGAGGGATCCCCTAAAAACGGGTATTTTGCTGTCTGTCAGTTAAGTCTGTCCT